ATGCAGCAACAGGAGAAAGAATGGCTAACTTCCCAGGAAGAAGAACAGTATCTGAATATCTGCACAAATATTAATTAATATATCCTTGCTACAATTAGCATGCCTATATAGCACTTATTCTCAAAATGTGTTTTGTACATGTTTTAGCTAAACAAACTAAACAAAGTTTTATTTATATTATAATAACAATATCTGAGGGCTGAGGCCAGATCAAGATGATTAGTTGCTCTTTGTTTGGGGCTTTGTACATGTAAATGATGAAGTGAAGTGTTGAAGTGATGTCATTTTGATGGTTTCAAACAAACTGCATAGCTAAAAACTGGGAAAAAATGTCCACAAATATGTTATGCTAGCATGACATTGTGACACCCCTTTCTCTCATTCCTGTTATACTCAGTCATTTATAAACTATTAACCTTCAGAGACTCAAAAGATCACAAAAACGATAAGCAAAGAGAGTAATTTTATACCATATATCTTATTTGCCTTTCAGACATGAACAACAGCAATGGTAGTGTTACAGTGTCATTCTTAGAACTGGCTCCAGTGTCCAAGTCGTGTTGTCATAATCTCCAACTTTAATCTCCAACTGCAATTGCTTTGACTTCATATTTCACTTTTGACATACAGATGTGAGAACAAAGAGGACTGTGATACACACATCAACAGAAAAAGGATAAGCCTTCACAAAACTATTTCTTACTCAATAACTACATGTCTTCAGGCATTTTATGGCTTCATATTGTGGAAACTGAGAGAGTTATTGGCAAAGAGAAGACAGAGGGATATCTCTGCCATCTCAATAGCCAAGAGAAATGTAAGGTAAGATTTCAGTGAGCTGATCGTATCACACACATAGGACCAGAGTATTATGACACAGTATTCATTTTAGCTGCAGAAAACACAAAGTTAATGTTAAGGTTAATGCAAACGAATTACCAAAAGAGCAAAAAACTGTAAGTTGCAAAAAGCAATGCAGATTCAATGTGATTGGCATTAATGAGAAGTCCATTCCACCAAAAAAGACTGAAAATTGGATTAACAGATATTTTGTTAAAAATTACCAACATCCACCAGTTCATTAATTATTTAGAAATAAAGCTTTGAAAGGAGTACACAAGCCTAAGCAGAAAAAGAGTAGTTCCTGCTTCTGAGCAAGAGACTGCAATAATCTTTTTGTTTTGGAAGGTATGAAAATGTGTGTATTTTATTTTCACTGAAGTCTGTAATGTTTTCATAAGCATATCAGTTACTTGCTGCATATACTCAAGCATGTGGATTTATGTTACTATTTCTGTTTTTGAGGCAGACTGCATTAAAAAGCATTGTTTGTATGTTTATTAAATTATTTTCCTGTTGCTGACTGAGTGGATTAACCTCTTATTTGATGTTTATATTTATAAAACTGCTGAAATCACAAAATAATGGACAGTATCTCAAACTGAAAATCTGTATGTTAACTCCGAGACTGTAGTGAGCTACAGTATGAATCTGGTTTGACCCTAGAATGTAGATTTTAGAGAAACTGGTGTTTCAGATTTAAGCTGGGCATACACTGTGCAATTTTTTCAGCTCCTGCTCAAACTGTACGACTGAATTGCAGGGGTTAGAAGTTCATAGGTCACGATGCATGTTCTCACACTATACGGTCCGATATCAGATATGACCTCAGTGCTCACACTGTGTGCTCATACACGACTGCACACACGCTGCACTGCCATGCTGCTCCATCTTTTTCATGTCCATTTCTGTGTTTGCACATGCACAGTTTGAGAGGTTGCGTAAAATCAGCTCGTGGCAGTGCTTCAACAGTGGGATACCCTCACGAGGGGCGATCGGGATTTCAAACAGGTTTGATTTTCTTGTGACCATACGATTGCTGATCGGGAGCTGGTCGTGAGTTGTCAATCGCTTCTCATTACCCCATGTATACTACACGATGCATGACACAAGATTAAGGCAAAACTCTGGCCGATCCCCAAAATGGTTGCACAAGTGAAAAAGCTTTAAGCAACAAAGGACACATGATCAGCTACATGGGACTAGACTTTTAACTGAGGAACACATGAGAGTCTGAGATGGGGTGTAGAAGGAGAATGTGCAATAGACACTGGAGTATGAGCATGTAGGGACTTGTAGGTGAACAGAATGATTTTATAGGAAATATGGGAGTTGACTGGGTGGCAGTGGATATGCATGAGGGTGAAAATGATGTGTTGCCTGGACTTAGTTCAGGTAAGAGCTCTGACAGCTGAGTTCTGAACATATTGGAGTTTGTTCACAGCTTTGTTAGGCAGACCAAACAGAAAATCATTGCACTAAACCGGAAAGTGATCATAAAAACATGAATGGGGCTTTCAGCTGCTGGGTTAAGGCCAGAGTCTGGAGATGTTGAAGTGGTAGAAGACACAATTAGAGATTTAATTAGATTTGATATGCTAGGATGAAACCAGGACAACCTCCAGAGACGGTGAAATGAAGGTTAGGGCATGGTAATGACTTTTATGTTTTTATATTTTGTATTGTTGTTCAATTAAAAAAAAAAATTGGTTGACATCCAGATTTTGATATCTTCCAGGCAGTTGACAAGTGACATATGACAGAGCTGATTGGAGGGTGTTGTGCTGTGATATAAGTGTGTATGATTATCTTAGCAGTTATAACCGAGCTCATCGTGATGGATGATTTGATGAAGTAGCTTTGATAACCAACTCAGTAATATTAACACCATCCAGTGGAGAGCAGAAGGAAAGGCAGGAAAGGCAGGAGTGGAGCAGACAGTAAGAAATTGTGAGGATAGAATGGGAGTGTGAGGGAGGTGGGATGTTGTAATAGCCGCTGGTGGATCGAGCCAGGTAAAAGTCCAGAAACTTGAAGTAAAGGACAGGGGCGTCAGGGTAGGGGAGTGTGGTGAGGAGCTTCAAGGGTGCAAAAATAATCAGTTTTATGTTAGGAAAGAGTATCTGTGGTGGGTCAAAGCAGTGAGCCAAGACATTATAGTAACACACAGCTAAGCCATCCACTGTGTGGTCTGTGGTCAGGAGTCAAGCAGGTTCAGTGTTGTCAGCTAGGTCTGATGCGATAACAGGCTTGATGTTCCTGTATGAGATTTTATGCTTGTGACACTGCATGTGCAGGGCGATGGGAGATTACAGAGGGGATAGGAGATACTGTCGATCTTAAGGAGTTATACCAAAGAAACACTCCAGCGTGTCACCTCTGAGATGATTGGGGTTTTTAGCATGCTTAGTGATGTTGAAGTAGCCTAGCAGTGGGAATAATTCTGCAGCAAAGGGGCAATTGTGACAGGGATAGCATGAAAATTTAGGTCCCCAAGGCAAAGTGTGGAAGAAGAAAAGGGACAGACAAAGGTAAGTAGCTCAGACAGCACAAGTTGAGGATTTGGTGTGAAAAGTCATGTGAACTTTAACAGCTCAAGAGCAAAAACAGATTCCTAGAATTGCAGAAACAAGCACTCAAGATACTAATGGTCAAAGGGACTCAGTGATAAACATGCCAACATCCTGTCATTAACCTTTATGCACTAACATTTACCTCTCAATAAGATGTTGGTGCATGATTAAGTCACATGCACCCTGTTGGCACCAAGACCATGCATCAATATGGAAAAAAAACACCTCTCATAGTTAACCACAGTGAAAATAAAAACAAATCCAGTGTTTCCTGGTTCTTTCCAAGCTGCTAAAATTCAAATTTGGTTATTAGATTTATGTGTAAGTGTCAAATTTCTCAAGGGGTAACCACAGCTGATGGAGCTATATGTTTAGACTTGGTACATACGGTATTTGAAGCAGGATCTTTTTGGAGACCCCAAATAGTTAGAAAACAAGAACAAATACTGATCCATTCATTCAGCTTCCTTGAATAAAATACCTGTCAGTTGTTCTGTTTTGAAAGCAAGTGCCAAAACAAATCTACTTTTTCCGTGTACGTGTGGAATGTATTTGGTATGAGAAACCTGTTGGGTTGGTAAATATGAGCATGTTGTGCTTTGCTCCAAATAACTAACAAGACTGATCTATTTTCCAGTACCTACTAGAAATAATGATACATATTTTAATTGCAGCTTTAAGGTAATGGACAAAAAGCTTAGCTAGTTTAAAGAGATTATTTCCTATTCCACCTTTATGACTGTTCTAATGTCAATTCAGTTATTTAAATATGACCTCTTTAACTGGCAAGACAATGTTATGAGCCCATACACATGTGAGGGTCGGTTTGTCTGAATTTCAAAACCACACTGTTTTATTAGTTGGCAAAATGATTTGTAGCAGTGCATAATTAATAGTCATTGACAAAGAAATCATGCACTCTGTAGGACAGGCTAATGGAAAACAAAGCAGAGGGGATTGGATATGAATGCTGGTCATTTGGTTGGTTGGTCCACCACTTTGGAAATATTTCAGTGACAATTAAATGGATCAAGATTCATTTCTAGTAAATCTTGAGTCTCCAGAAAATGAATCTTATCTCTCTACTGCATGACTTTTTGATTTTTGGGGAAAAAAATATTTCTCCCTATTTTGGGGGAGCTTTAGGGTCCCTAATAATATATCAGTCATAAAATTTGACTAAACGGTGGCCTCATTGCCAGACCTGGCACACATCTGGTTGACATACACTCTGCCAAAACACCAGTCAGTCAGAAGTGCCAGCTTGATGCCAGATCTGGGCCAGACCTGTTTTCTGTAGGCCTGGGCCACATAAGCCAAGCCACAATCAAGCCAGATGTGGCATGCCATCACATAGACAGTGCCATCTATGCCAGGCCTGGCCCATATCTGGATGACATACGTCTTATCATGTCAGAAGTCAGCCAGCAGTGCCGACTTGATACCAGATCCTGGCCAGACCTGCTTGCTATGTGGGCACTAACTCACACAGAGACACAGTTACTTTACCAACTGACCCCTGACCCCTGAGCTCCTAAGTGTCCCTCAAACCTCATTCAGGGATCCACTCCTCTATTTCACTGTCACTCCCTGAAAGCTCACTGTCCTCACTTTCTGAGGACAGAGAGTGCACATTCCCTTGGTTTCCTTCCATAAAAGGTATTTACATCTATGTCCTGTAATTATGAGCAGATTGTAAAGTAAAAACATTGACTATGATCATATAAATGCACACAAACACATCTCTACAAACATATTCAAATGCATTATATTGCCTGAAGAAAAACTGGGCTAACTGCGCAGTGTTGCCTTGAGGCAACAAATGAAAATTAACAGTTTTACTGTATAAATAAATTTTAAAAAGTGGAACAAACAATCAAATATGCTTTTTAACATATTCATGCACATACAAGTATTTTTTAATATACATTTATTTCACTATAAACATGTAAAATAGTGATCTTTATCTTGCCTCCTAATGGAGATGTCTCTCATGTAGTGCCGCTTGCAGCATGTTTTTTTCTGTATAAATGCATAAAGGACGATGTCATGATGTTCAACAAAGGTTCACTTCATGAATACTAGATCTGTAAGCCTACTAATATAATTTGGTGTTTACTGGAAATGATTGAATTTTTTTATAATCTATCAAGCTAAAAAAAAAAAAAAAACAACAGTAAAGCTAAAGGTGGTGAACATAGATTGCTTAACATTTGCATGTTAGTTTTGCCGTTGCACTATATTTGAGCAAAAAGTTCCAGGAGTGGGTTGATGAAAGAAAAAAAAACATTGCCTGATTTGAATATGGGCATTCCCTGTTTAAAAACTAGTGCCTTAACAGTTGGCTGGGACTTCCCTGATGTTAGCCTTCTAGTTGGCTTTTAATGTTTGTAGACAAAGTCAACGCGAGGCTAGCCTTGTATTAATGGGTTTTAAAAACACTTTTAATGTACTAACACAGCAGCAGCAGCAGCAGTATTACAGTCTAGACGGCTTCTGTAAAATGTTCTCCTTCATACATCTTGGGACATTGCACTAAGACTCTATACTGGCATATTTAGGTTGCACAAACCAATCAATGCCAGAATAGTGATAGAAAGAGTAAGGTTTCAAGGAAATACTCATCATTAGCTAACTGCATCCTGTCACAGAACATGACTAAGAGGCTGAACTCGAATATTTGATGGTCAAATTGATGGCTTTTGACTTCAATTGACCCATTTTTATAACTTGTTAATGATACAGCGCATTAAGATCTTACATTTTGGTGTTTTATTAAGCTAAGCTAGCCCTGACATAGCATGGCATAGCTCACACATGGTGAGAACTTGCACATCCTTCTTTATATAATATATACAGTGCTCAGCATAAATGAGTACACCCGCTTAAAAAAGTACAAATTTAATGAGCTGCTCAATGAACAAAAGAACAATTTCCAAACTTTTCACAAGGCTGAGTTTTATTGAACATTTGTTTAACTCCATAACATGAAATTAAGGTTAATATTATAACTTAGATCACAAAATCTTCAGTTTTAACCATATTGGTTGACACAAAAATGAATACACCCGCAATAAAAACTGCTACATCTACTATTTTGTATGACCACTGTGATTTTCAAGGACAGCACCAAGTCTTCTAGGCATGGGATGAAGAAGCTGGCGACACATTGCAACATCTATCTTTCACCATTCTTCCAGAATAACCTCTTTTAGAGCCTGGATGCTAGATGGAGTGATGCACGGAGTGATGGCAGCATCTTCTTCTTCAGAATAGAGCAGAACATTGTTGAGCTCATGATACCATCAATGAAATGCAGTTCCCCAGCACCAGCAGTACTCACTTAGCCCCACATAAGGACTGCCACCACCATGTTTCACTGTAGGCACCATGCATTTCTCTTTGAAATCCTCACCTTTACGACGCCATACAGTTTTGAAACCATTAGTTCCAAAAACAGTGATCTTTGTCTCATCACTCCAGAGTATATAGTCCCTGTAGACTTCATCTTTTTCAGCATGGGCCCTAGCAAATTCTAGCCATGATTTTTTGTGCATGGGCTTTAGGAGAGGCTTCCTTCGTGGACATTACCCATGCATGTCATTCCTCTGCAGTGTGCGCTGTATGGTGTCACAGGAAACGGTCACTCCAGTTTGGCTTTCTACTGCTTGAGCTAACTGCAGTGAACTTCCATGGTGATTTTCTTCAACCCTTCTCATCAGGAGACACTCCTGTCGAGAGGTTAACATCCGTGGACGGCCTGGATGTCTCTGTAAGGTGGTTGCACTTCCATCTTTCTTAAATTTCTGGATCACTTTTGCTACAGTATTTTGGCTGATATGTAAACCTTTGCCGGTCTTCTTGTAGTCCTCACCTTTTTTGTGTAAAGAAATGATTTCCTTTCTTGGATTTTGTGACATTTCTCTTCTATGTGGAGCCATTGCTGACAGCATGAAATGGGAAGAGCTTTTCTTTGTTAAGCCACCTGTCTGCTGGACACCTCTTAAATGAATCATTAGACCCCCTGTGGTTGAATTCCTTTTAATTTGAATTTTGTAGTCTTAAACTGTGGCTTTTCTCTATAGACTATAATTGGGGTGTACTCATTTTTGCGACATGGGCGTGAATGAATTTGTTAGAAAAATCTAATTCATTCACAAATCTTGTTTGCAATCAATGCCCCACATTTGTGAGAGTATTTTGTAGTATAGAATCTCGTGGAAAATGTTAACTCTCAAAGGAAACTAAAGGTTTTCTGACAAATGTAGTGGGGTGTACTCATTTATGCTGAGCACTGTACTTGGGATTTGTAGACAACTATTGCACTGACCATTGTTTTTGCTACATTTGGAATACTTCTGGTTATTTCTTTATGTTAGGATGAAGAAGAAGCCGTATTGCTCCTGTATTAGCTCTTAATTGGCTGACTGTTAAATATAAAATTGAAAATCATTCCCTTCATGTAAAGGGTCTCAAATAATCAGGCCCCATTATATCTTAAAGATCTCATAATGCACTGAGCATTTCTTTTCTCAGCCTTTTTCGCTTCCCGTGTGATTTTACTGCATTTAATCATTAATAATCATTTAACTCTCTCTCTCTCTCCATTCTTCCTCCCTTTGCGCTCTTCTCTTTCTTCTCACTATTATGGGGTTTTTGCCCTAAAAAATAAATCATACCTGTCAGTACAATATAATTCTTCAGATCTATTCATCAAAATACAATAACGTGCTATCTGGAAGGTAACTCTTATAGATAACAGACAACCCTTGGTTTATATTTAACTAAACAGATCACAATTTACTTAGAGAATGTACATTAAAAGATAGGTTTACAGTGTGCAGCGAGTAAGGTGACACAATCCCAAAAAAATAGTTTCAAACAAGTACCTACAAAGTAGGTAAAAGGTCATCTGTGGACTGGTAAACCGGTTTCAGGCAGGTGAATAGACGACAGACATGCAGAATCAGCAGAACCATGCACACTGCTAAAGAGTCTTATGTAAACTGCCTGCATAGTAGTGTAGTTTTCCCTGATGGGCCTAAACACTGTTTTAAAACATTTAAAATGAAACAGCCAGAAAATTCGAACATTAATGATTTGGCGGAAACACGGAAAATGACCGGACTCATTTCTTCCTCGGACAAATACCTGAAAACCAAGAGGTGATGCTGAAGCAAATCAGCCAAAAATGTTGCTTTTCCCAGGTTTATTGGAATTGTAAAGAACATATAATATGACAGGTGGAATAAAAAATAAATTAAATACAGATAGAGAATACAAGAGAGTAGTTACGACTAATAAATAACATGCATAAAAATCTAAAGGCAGTGATCAGCAGCAGTGATATATGTGCATGCTACATTATGTTTAATTTAAGGCTTTAGGCTGAAATGTATATTTAGAGACACAACATTTTAAGCTAAGCAGGACAGTTTGCTTAGAAGAATGCAAGTCTTAAAGATGCAGAATGCAATACAGCAGATACCTAAATTCATTCAATGCTGAGGACTCTTTTCATCATAGACAGCACAGCTGACTGTACCAATATACAGCAGATTTTAACATCCTAAAGCAGTGGTTCTCAAGCCATGTCCTTCTGGGAGAAACAGAGCCTTGACATTAGGATGGCCAAAGACACAATGTGAAATTAAACCTATTGTCATTCTTGAATTTTGCACAATTTCAGAAACAAACTCCAGAAACATTTGCATATTTGGAGCTTGGTTGAAGGTGAAGGCAGTAAACATGACACCCGTTAATGCCACATGACGTGCTTGTACCAGGGAGCAGTCAAGTTAAAGAGGTCGCATGTGACTTCTGAAAAGTCCCTAAAAAGTTCAGGGCTGTAGTGCTTGTTTAAATACAAAAATTGTGGCACTCCTGAAAGTGAACATTTCAAAAAAGCTTGAGAATCAATGCTCTGAAGAAACATTAGGGGAGCATGTTTCATAAATATCAAGCACAAAGGTACACACAGTAGTGCCTGCACTAAAGCACTTTGGTCTGGTCAAGTCGGACTCTATGTGGATTCAGTGAGTCCTGTACATACAACACAAAAACAACATTTTTTTTAAAAAGGCACCGTAGAGTCAGAGAAAAAGGAGAGATCATGGTAATGTGTGAACATGTGCGTGTTTTCCCCACAACAGAATTCTACTCCATCATGCATTGTTTTCTGAGCGCTTGTCGTTGGCCAGCCTGTCTCGCTCTCTGTGCCGCTGGATGGCTCGCCAGATCCGGCAGAGGATTCCGCCCCTGAAAGGAAGCATAGATGTTGTTACAGCACATCACAGCTGTGCATGTTAATTATTAGCTAAAAGTATAACTTGAAAAAGGCAGTAAAAAAGGCTGTAAGGTTAACTCTCTTATCGCTTTTGTCCTTTGAGGTAAAAAAAGGGATAAAGTCTTATCAAACACATCAGTACAGCAGTCTTGTGTGGGAAATCCTGCAAGAGCATATGAAATAATGGTTTTTCACAAAGCAAAACCATTCAATCTGTCATTGCTTTTGGTTAAAATGTTGCTGTTTTACTGAGTCAAAATGCTAAATCATATATTTGTGATAAGTGGTAATCTGTGGAGCTGATCTATTAAGTTGGTATGCAGTACTATAGGCCATGGGAGAAGCTAATGGCAATGGGTCAACAGTTCTGAAGTATTTTATAGCTGCAAAACAAACTTTTGTTGTATGCTTGCAAAAGTCTGACTTTATTTAACTCTGACCTATTACTCTGTAACAGGAGATAACCGAGGTAAGCAGCATCCCTAGTTTCTAAAAGACTTTTGCAGTTATAAACGGTAAAATGACATCAGACCACTTCAGAAGAGGCTATTCGTACAGTGAGATACCATTTAACCTTGTGGAAGAAAAATGGTGTGATTTAACCATTCTAATGTTTTCTGGAACATCAGAGGAGTTTGGAAATTCAGTGACCTATAAAAGGTAAATGTCAAGGAGGCAATGATGAAGATTTACTCTTCATGTACTTGGAAAGAAATGTATGACTTTTATGAAATGTGTTTATTTCTCAGACTGCAGGACTAGCTTTATATAACTTATGTGCAGATACCGTAGATGTAGGCACCGGAGGTCCTCTTTGGTAACGTCACGAAGAATGTCCGTCAGTGTATATTCCTCAAGAACAAACTAGGACAAAACAGAAGCACTCTTACTTTATATTGACACTTCGCTGCCACGGTGCACTAGAATGATAAGCTGCACACTAATGGCCTATATAAAGATACTCAACCTTGTCTATGGTGTCGGGGTCTGCGCCCTGCTCTTTCAGCCAGTCGATGAGCTGCTTGTCTGGCTCATGGTCTGCTGGGATGTGGTGGATGGATGGAGGTGAAATGTCTGAAACGACAGGTATAGGAACACTTTGCTCAAAGTACATGTTGATCTTCAGTATTAACCCTTTCTGGTCACTACACTGAGCAGCCAGTCAAAGGCTGTTTTCTTGTATTTGTGTCAGTGTTGATGGTATACTTGCACATAAAACACTACATTGCACACTGATGTGTCACTCCATACCCTGCCACCCAATGGTCATTTAATGTTAATATACTTGGATGACATGTTACAATGTAATTACTGTTATTTAACCCTGTCATGCATGAATTATGACAACCTCAATCAGGATTTTTCTTTTAAGTACTTTATTCATCCTTTTATGCCTAAAGATAAATAAGATACTTAAGAAAAAAATCCTGATTGAGGTTGTCATAATTCATGCATGACAGGGTTAATGATCTCTTCTCCATGACGACAGCACAAGAATGTTAGATCATCACTTTGGCACCTATACATGTCAAACTAGCTGCACAAGCAGCTACAGGCTGACGTGCAACTTCAAAGAGATGTACACTAAACTTGACAAGGACTTCAAAATAATGCCGGGGGCTTTTAAAAATAGCCGCAACGAGAAAAAGTCCCCGGCAATGAGCCAAACTCAAACCACTAATTAAAGCACAGCTCTATCTTAAATTCACAGGATAATCTGAAATATATACACATTACCACTTAAAGTTCTGCTGCTCCAACTGTCTGACCCCCAAATATTTGAACTGCAATATGTGGAAGTGGAAGAAGTCTTTTCTCACAATATATGGATCATCAGTAGAGGACATAAAATTGATACCTATCATTATCATTGGGTGCAGCACTCTAAAGAAATTAGAGTGTGTGAGAGACTGCACTTTCAAATTTCCATTAGGTGCTCAGGAGGGTTTTGAACCAGCTGGATTAGAGATTAATTACACTAAAGAATAGAGTCTTAGGTAAGGAGGCTATGATGTCTTTGAGAAAGATTCAAGGGAAAGGCATTTGTTTAGATTTAAAACCTTCCTGTTGGATTAAGCTGTACAATCTATTTCCCCCTACTTCCTCTTTTTCATAACAGAAGAAGAAAAAAGTGTTTTTGTATCACGATCAAGCAGTTCTGAACATAAGCCCTATATCATTAACTTACTAATAGAAATAGAAATGTGCAATAGAAGCTGCTAAAAATGCTATAGCATTTTGTATTTTTTTCACTGTTTATACTGGTGGAGTGTAGAGTAACTAACTCTCAATTATAATTTCCGATCCCATCTGCAGAAGATTTAATTCAAAGCCTGAAACAGGATTTGAGGAATTCTTGGTTTTCAGATTTCCACAAAAAAATACCATAAGCATTACCACTGAGAGCAACAGGTTTCCAAACATTGTAGGTTTAGAACAAACATTGTTTAAGACTGAATTGAATGATAACTAGGACTTAATACAGGTCGATCCACAACTGTTTGGACAATGCAACACAGGATCCCTCCCATCTCCATCTGCACCCTGACCCATGGAAATTACATTTTATGGCTCTGGCCTGAAGCCTTCACTCTCACAATGGCTCTAGTCTTGTTCAGCTCTTCCTGCAGACTGTGTGGTCGTTCACTACCTTATCTTTTCCATGGAGCCCAGAAATCTTCCCATGACTAAACTTTGTTCAGAAGCTGGTAGAGTTTATTGCTCTTGGCTATCTGGCATTAATTTGTTTGAGATTAGAAGCCTCATGCTAGCAGTCGTAGTACCTACATATCTGGTTACGAGTTTACATTCCTTTTTATTTTGGGCGGGAATCACGTTTCAGATGTAAAAACACAGCCTACTAAGTGTCAAGCACATGTCAGCAGTGCTGAATTATTTACAATATTATCTGTGGAATATTACATTTATGCAGAAAATAAATATATAAATTATATAGTGTTACCACAACTGAATCCCAACCTAACTCAACCCTAACATTATTATCCAGTATTCTTTTCCTGATCTAACTCCTTATGGATATGGATACAGGGTCTAATTTTATAGACTGTGGTCTCTGATTTACAATACTTCTTTTTCAGAAATTGCAACAAATTAACAACATTAAATAACATTCAATCTTACTTAAATCTCTGTTATCTAGTCTCATCTTAAACATGCAAATACCTTCAAAATGGTCCTAGCCTTCTTCCCTGGAGAAATAAGTCTTTTATGGAACCAGTTTAGAAGTCAGATTGTAAAAGTTAAGCATATTTAAACATGGCACTTTTTCTTAGCAGGGAGTGTGTGAGTGATTCAGTTTACCTGGGGGTCTGTGTCTGACTCGGACCAACTCTAAATCATGTGTTCTCTGCTGCAGGGTGGTTTTCAAGACCTGCTGGTACTCCTTCTCCTTTTGTAGCAGCTCATCCAGCAGCCTGCAACAACAATAATATCTGTTAAGTTAATTTCTATAGTTTCTCCTGGTATACACAATGTAAAGATGTTTGGACAAACTATTTTATACTGAAACTTCCTGCTTTGAAATTCCATAGTGGAACTGATTTGGACACACGCATTAATGTCAGTTATTGGTAGGAGCTATAGCTACACAGTACAACGGCTAAATACAAGAATCGCATTATAGTGCATTACACAATTGTCAAACAAGCGAAAATCCCCAGTTCTATTTCAGGAGGAGACATAAATGCCTTTGGGATTATCTCTAGTGTAAAAACCATGCCAAATCAAACATGCAGTAAGCAGCTAAAAGTAGATTTTTACATTATGACTAAATCGACATGTACAAGCACAGGGCTAAAGTGCAGATGCAGTTTTTACAAAGTCAACATGAGTATCAGACTGTTCTTTGCAGTCCCATTTCCACTGTGGTACTTATTAATAAAGTTTCCACGAGGCTATCTCAATTAAAAATTCAAAAGTCTGCAGAGAGTCAGCTGCAGGTGTGTTGTTTGAGAGTGTTTGAGAGGCAAAAATGAAGCAGAAATGCTGAGAACAAATACCAAAATCTGAATGAATGGCTGAAAAAGATGAAATCTAAAGTAATGAACTAAAGCGTCTTAAGTTGAAGTTACTAATAGCTAAAAGCAGTAAAGGAAAAGCTAAAAAAAAGGTGATGATGAAATCACTGATCACATGTCTCTTGATGGTATGAATGAAGACATTATTGCGTTTGATAGATGCCACTCACATGACCGCATTTGTGAGCCAGTAAGGAAAAACAAAACAACTTGAAATGCAAATGTAAGAGCTGAGGAAAACCCCTCTCTGTATCATTGAAGCATGGTGCCAGTAATTACCATCTGATTAAGGTGATTACTGGCACCATACTGTTTTGTGTATTAGGACTGTGCAGAAATTTGCTCCATTTCATGCCCCTGTGGGTATGTCAGCCACCTATCATAAACAGCCCTGAAGAGATAGTGACAGTGTACGTGGGTATGCTTGTAACCTCACGTTCTGTCCTTGTTTTCCGCTTCCTGCTTCAGTTACAAGTGGAAACCTGTGCATGCAGGCCTGGAGAAAAAATTCCACATGAGCCTGTGAAGGTTTCCACCTGACCTTAACTGTGGTAAACAAAACATTTAATTAAGTGGGTACCTGTTGGTTTCGTGTTTGAGCCTGCCCAGCTGGGCGCCTAGATGATGATGTGAGCGTTGATGTTCGTGGGAGTGGGAGGAGTTCACAGTGCTGACCGCAGAGTGTGTGTGATCGGACGTTGTCCCCGTCTCGTCAGTTTGCTGCACTAAAATGGGTCCAAACTCTGCTTCCTCCTCATCGACCTCGTCTTCCTTCTCTGCTCCCTCACACTCTGACGCCGGGCCAAAGTGGGTCTGCAGCTCTATTGTGTTAGTAAAAAAGTCATAGGTCAAGGTAATTGATGTTATGTTGTTGGCTTTCTGCGAGCACTCTACTACTTAAACTACTAAACCATAAATCGGAAAAGTAAAATAGCATGGATGTTAATGTCCACTAGGTGGAGTAAAAAGCTCATGACAGGCTGCAGCTGCCAGAGATGCCCACCTGGTATAAGGATGGTTATTGCAGCCTGCACAGCTCGTCGGATGATGTTATCCATGGCAAACATCCAGTGGGGTTTAATGTGGTGATTTCTCAGGACCTTGTTCACCTGAGAAGGTCCGCACAGACATTTAAAGTATAGACACTTTTATTTGTAGGTTTTTTTCAACACTCACAAGATTCCACACTCACTATAGCTGGTTGCACATTTATTCGATTGTTTTTGGCAAGATGTCTAGTGGAAAACGTGGAAATACTTTTTAGGGCCTTTTTAATTGGCAGTTAAGGACACCAATTAAAAAACAAACTGTCATTATTGTCAGAGACGAAAGGTACAGAAAGTAAACTGAACTGAAGTCTTCTTTCTGTGGAGAGGGCAGAGGAGGTAGCACTCATCATCTACAAATCAAAGGTTGGTGATTTGATCCCTGGCTGCTCCAGTCTGCGTGCCAAAGTATCCTTGGGCGAGAAAATGAACCCCAAATTGCTCTCTAATGAAACAATTGGAATGAAACCGTGTGTGTGTGTGTGTGTGTGTGTGTGTGTGTGTGTGTGTGTGTGTGTGGTAGTGCTGACCGAGTCCTGGAAACCAAACAACACCAGCTGAATCTGGTTGATGGATGTGGAGTCAAAGTCGAGGTCCAGCTTGAGCTTGGAGATGGTGGCCGCCATGACGCGCCGCTCCGGGGAATGGATGAAGTCTCGAAGGATGCAGATGATCTGCTTGATGTGATCGATGGACAGCTGGAGATCCTCGCTACCCTACACATAGTTTTAGCAGAGTGTGCAATTTAAGCCTAGTGATCAATAACTGTAGCATTACAAGCCCATATTATTAAGATTATTATACAAATTTAAAAATTATTAGTGATTTTGTAGATTTTTGTTCCTGGTTGGGTTTTATCTTTATCTTTTAGGATTTTACCCTGTGCAATAAAGTACATTTCTTTATCAAGCACTCGGGAAGGATATTAGTATTCTGAAAGACCAATTACGCCCCCCAATGGAAGAATCAGGAACAACAGTTATTTTAGATTGCAATTAGGCCCCCTGTGACTGCACTGGATTCATGGTAGTGAAACAGTAATGACAATCTGTGTTGCAAATTGCTCAGACATAGATCATAGGGGTATAATATGAAGCAAGTCTAACATAGCCGGGCTTTCTTTGGTTTGGTAAAATCTGAAACCCCAGCTGGGGTATCATGATCCAGATTTCATTACGGTGGTTATCAACTCTTCCCATTAACCCCAGCTTTATGCTTAGAGCTCTGTGTGCACTTGATTTGATGTATCACTTGACTCTTCTGCACAAAATGGATCAATGGGACACCGTCTACTCGAGAGTCATTAACAGATGAGCAGGTAGCAAAAATTTCTAGATAAAAACTGCAATTTGTGTTAGTATGTATGGCTCTGTAGGTTATATACATAAAATATATTCCTCCAGCAGAACATCTACACCACACTTATACAGTGCTGTAAATAAAAGAATCAGTGAAAGCGTGGCATTTCCAGCCTATATTAAATTCTCAACATAAACTGCTCCAAAGCAGGTTGTGATTAGCAGAAGTTACCTGTAAAATGTGACTTATGATCTGCCCTTGTTTCCTGGAGACAAAGCCACTACTTTTATAACTAAAACGTTAAACTGGGTCTTCCAGGAAAGCTGAGTCATCATGTTTGCCCAGGTGAACAGACCTTTCTCTCCACAACAATATATGTCCCCCGAGTGTGCTTGTGGAACCAGACTTATATCTCCACTCTATATGTAACACAAGTAGACACACACACACCTGCATGTGATTTTCCCTGAGGTTGGAGATGACCTTTTCCTGGTCTTCATTGAGGACCTTGTACAGAATGGCCCGTCTCTCGCTGTCCTTCTTTAGCATGAACAAACCACTGTCCCTGTCCTCAGGAGATGGGGGAACAGAGCGGTCCTCTGATACTGAACCCTCATCAGGCACACTGCAACACACATACACACACACACAAAGTTACCTGAGAAGCACATAAAACAAGACATGAAGTGAACAGATGATTTACAGCAGTGTGCTCTTTAATTTATTTACAGATACAAGCCTCTCCTGGCTACTCTGTGTGCAAAGGAAAGTGCAGAAGTAGCATGAGTCAGCGCTGCGTGACGTGCATGCATGTGTGCACATTGGTGCTCGACTGATGTGTGCAGAGCCACCAGCTGAAGCTTGTAAAATTATCAGGACTCGTTAAATTAGTATTGTAAAAGGCAGCGGAGGACGGTGTGAGTGCAATAAGGCCACCTGCTATCTGCACACACAGATGCACTCGTTCATTTACATCGTTTCACATGATCTGAGATTCAGCACCAGCAGCAGGATTTCTTTGCAGAAACACATTGTTTCATTGCTCTAATAATTTGTAAAACAATATTTTAAAAGGAAATAGTTTTCTTAATGCCATTCGATCCCAGTCTGATGCAAAATCTCAGTATGTGGTTTCAGACACACCTCAGGTAGTTAGAACTGGGAGGTTTGAGCAGATTCTTGGAGCCAGAGCTTTTCCTCTTGTCAAAGAATATGTCGTGTTTTGCGTCGCAGTCGGGACTCACAGAGCCGTGCTCACTGCTGCTACTGCCAGCGGCCTCGCCTTGCACCTGCACTGGCAGGGAGATGTTAGGGATATAGTCTGAAGAATACATAAAAAGAAGAATAGGAATAAGACATGGGCAAGACAATTAAAACAATACACTCACACATAAGGACATTTTGTCCTTTACCCATACTCAACTTTATTATATGACTTTTTATGGCCATTCACCATTGCATTTTATCCTGCTACTTGTATCACACCATCAATAAAACCTAGTGACCCAGCTCCACTGGCAGCGCTACATGCCTACTACCATAACACTGCCTCTACGATATTTGCCAGATATGCTTTGGATAATGCTGTTTCTCCCCTTCTCGACATATTTATCTTCCCATCATTCTGGTACAAGTTAATGTTAGTTTTCAGATTCAGATTCAGAAGACTGAAAAGGCAAAAACACAGGGGCAATTAAGAGACTGACCTTGCAATTAAATTGAATTAAAGCTTTAATCACATGATGGTTTTTTTTTTTAAATCCACTGTGATGGTTGGTCAAATGTTGAGGGTTAGGGTAAGGAAGCCTAAACGCAATAATGTCATTTTCTGTGACATAGTGTGACCTTCACTGATTGGGTGGGAGTGTCACAGTCCAGGGTCGGTGACTCAGTGTTTTAAGTTTTGTATCATTACTGAATTTTGATTTTGTCATCGTTTATCTTTTCTAGTCTTTTGGGCTCTGTTTCTGTGACCCATGGTTACGGTCAACTGTATCCTAGTCAAGTCTGCGTCTGTGATGTTTCCTGTTTTACTTTGAAAGTCTGTGTCCTATGTCAATGTATTGAGTTTTGCTTCCTCTTGGTCTTGTCATGTCAGATTACTCCCAGCTGTGCTCTCCTCCTGTGTCTCATTCCCCTCGTTATCCCAGTGTATTTAAGCCCCGCGTTTCTCTTTGTCAGTGTTGCGTTGTCTGTTATCCATGTCATAGTTAATCATAGTCAGTCTGTTATTCGAGTCATCATGTATCATAGTTTCCTTAGTTTTCATGTTTCCACCCGCCATCAGCCAAATAAAGGCTCGCTCTTTGTCTGGGTCTGCATTTGGGTTCACATCTGAAAAGCACCGGCTGCTCAGCTGTGACAGTGAGAAATATATGTGGTTTTATAACCTCACACAAAGGGAAGAAAAACCAGTTTGGATATTACTGGTTTCTCACCTATATTTTTTTAATCAAATAGCACTACTATTTACATGAGCATCACAAAAATCATGCAGTAAAACCCATTTGGAAATGTGATGATATTTTTGTGGTGTTGTAGTAATGTCTGTTTGTATTTACCTGGTGATTTGAAGGCGATCTTACTCTTCTTGCCCTTGGTGTTGTGCTTGACAAAAGTGTCTCTGAGCAGGTCCAAGGCGATGGCCCTCTTGTGAGGGTCGGGCTCAAAGCAACGTAGAATAAATGACTTGGCCTCCTGTGACAAAGACTCTGGAATCTCTGGATGAATTTTAAACATGCCAACCTGAAGTGAGAGACCACGGAGATTTAGTGTTAGAAGAAAATAAACATGTGTTTTGCAAATAACTGGACCGCTGAAGGCTGGAAAGGTTCATAAGTAAATACGCAAACTAACACAAATAAGCTCAGTGTCTACCTTAAACATGGCTGCCTGTGGTTCCCCCAGCTCATGAAAGGGAGGTTTCCCAGTGGCCATTTCTATAATGGTACATCCCAGGGACCAAATGTCAGCTGGTGCCCCATAGCCTCGAGGGCCCTTGTCAATTATTTCTGGAGCCATGTACTGCAAGGTACCTTCAAGTAGAGAAGTATATCGTGTAAGCATTTGCAACACAGAAAGAGATGCAAGAGAGTCAACAAATCCATTTTTACTTGCAAACCAAGACTATGAAGTAGCAAAAGGCTGCTTCTGTTAGCTAATATTTTTATAACAGTGTATACCCTGACTGGACATTTTATTGCATGGCCTTGCACACAAAGTGCAATCTGAGGCGAAGATTAAAGATAGATTTCAGAAGAATTTTATTTTGTCTCCCAGTCTGCTCAGAAATTCTGTGCAGATTGGCATTTGCTCCAAATGCTGATGTAAATAGAGAGCCAGCAAGAGCTATAAAAAAGGAGAGTGAGACAAGAGCAAGTGATGCTCCAGAGAAGAAACGGATAAGGAAACACACACACAGACAGCTCCTAATGAAAGGTAAACACCCTTCTGCCTCTGCTTGATTAGCTAATCTAATTACCCACCTTGCTGGCTGCTGGAGAAGGCCAGATGGCCAATAAATGTGTATGTCAGTACATTCGCATGCACTCATGTGTCTCTCTGTTTCCATAGAGGCTGATTGTGGCTCTTGACATTTTGAAGGTCATTTGATATTTACACTCATAGTCTGAGAGTGAGCATATCTCAGACTCCATTTATGCATCTCAGACTGAATTAGTCTGTTTATGACAGGTCAGGGCTCGTGTGTCTTTTTGTGACATTGGAGTTAAATAGAAATGAAATTGCTCATTGTGCATTTTTCTTCCAAGCAGAACGTTTTTAAGTTGTTCACATCTGAGAACTTCGTGGGATTTGTGAGATTATTATATTATCGTTATACCCCTAATTAAAGATTGTGAAATCGTAGTTTTAGTTTGCATTATTCTCCTGACTAAGAAGAAGGTGATAACTATTACAGTTATTAAACTGATTTGTATTACATTAGACTGCTGATTTATTGTGAATGAATGATATTGTTTTATGATGCATTATACGGCTGAGGTATAAAAAATACTGTTTTCAGAGAGTCATCACCTTATTTGTCTGAATAGAAAAGAACAGAACATACAGCACAGGAAGGCAAGATCATAACTTGGGCTCACTGAGAGAGAGAAAGAATGTGGATGTTTAGGTTTTATGACTAGGTGGAGGGGGGCTGAAGCTATAAGAATTGGAGGAACGCTCAGACACTTCGAGATCAGGCGGACTCATCTCCCATCCGGATGGTTTATGCTCATAAAGTGTTGAATTGTATGGAATAAAAGCTTGTTGATTGAGCATTTATACACCGAGTATTGTCCTTCCTTCAGCCCAACGATCAAAAGAATTGGGAGCATTTAACAGATTACAGTTATTACAAACTTCAACTTAATCCCTGGGCTATTGTTTGAAATTTCTGTCAGTCATAGACAATGAACAGTTTAAATGGTTAGCTAACAGCATAAACAAATGGTACATGAACAGCTTTGGGCTGTTAGCTACACAAAAACAGGTGAAATTAGTCACCAATAGCTGTTACATGGAGTAGCAGCTAAAAGTAGGGCATGAATGATTTTAATAGTAAGCTAATACTTTTGAACAGTTTGAAGACTTGTGTGTTTGTGTACATTGCACATGGCTCTCAGGGTATATCAGATGAAACCACCGTGTTAAGCTATATTCTAGCAATAATGACTCTTCTCACAGAGCAAAACTGACACAGGAAATATAATATGAATTGTTTTTTATAGATATTGTAACGTTGAAAGGCTGTTTCTTTTATTTAATGCCTTTGTAATCTCATTGTTTAGAGTGTATTTAAAATGTATATATATATATATATATATATATATATATATATATATAAAAATATAGTTTTTTGTTGGGTTTTTTTTAATGTTTTTATGGGTTTTGATGGGTGTTTATATGTATTTTAAAACCTGTTGTAAAATTCAAATTCTGCAAGATGATCGAAAAGGTTACCTGTGAATGTTTCTGTACAGGGATTGACTCCTGCCAACCGTTTTGAGGTACCAAAGTCAGAGATCTTCAAGACACCACTGTAGGTGTTAACTAGGACATTATCACCCTAAAAAGAAACAAATGAGGAGAGATTTAAATGCATTGAACTATGTGGGTCATTATTATTTAAACTGAAGCCTACAGAATTATCACCAATTATCACCAAGTACTTCCCCATCAGTAATGGGGTTCCACGAGGCTCTATTCTTGGCCCTGTCATTGTTCCCACTGATCTTCAGTGCTGTTTCTTTCTAGTTATTCTTTTTTTTTTCTCTCCACCTATGTGATACATATGCATATGTGTGTGATTTGATAGGTTTCCCTGGAGTTCTGAGATTTTCTGAGGGGCATGCCCACTAACCCATTCTCATTGGATCTTTGGTCGGCCCACCTCGTCTACTAATTTTTCGCCTGCAGTACGAGGACCAGCTCTGCAGTTTTGCCATTTGTACACATTTATGGCTCTCAATGTCTCAGGTCCTTCTTGTGTGTCAGCTGTCAGCAGTCTCTTAGCCTCATTTCTAAAGTCATTCACACATAAACCTACTTCTGATTTATCTGCTTGCTCACTCTCGACCAATTCAGAACACCTATGTCTCAGGCACGTCTAACTGACTGATGTATCTTAACATGAATGTACTTTTGCAGGCTCAGATGTCAACTAACACAGTCTCAGCTAAGAATGACCAAAGCTGACTAAAGACACCCTGAAAAAAATCCCTCCAGAAATGTGACATTGATGTAAAACAATAGGAAATCATGGAAGCTAACAGGTTGCATGCTTATGAGAATAAGAGACAAAGTAGCCAAGTGGAAAAGTGTGCAGCTTTGAGGACGAGAACCAACATAAGTGTCCAGTATGTGGTCGCCTTTGTGCATCAGACTTTAGCCTGAGATCCCACATGATGGTGCACAAATGAATGGTTTTAGGTTGGACTTGAGGACCACAATACTCGACCATATGTCTCAGTCAGCAAGAAACTCATTCATCCTATGTAATGCTCAATACTTTAATGTCTTTTCTTCCAGACAAGACAACTTTGTATCCACAAGCTCAAACCTAAGACTACTTGTAAGTTTCTTTAAAAAATAATTTTAACTTGAAATTCAGTCATAATGACATTTCACTTTATAGAAGTAACAGCTGTGTTCCTCAAAGATGTATCATGGCAGGCGGGGTTCCTTCTACCTTGATGTCTCGGTGGACGATCTGGTTTTCATGCAGGTATCGGAGACCTTCCAGAATCTGTCTGGTGTAGAAGATAATTGTTGCCTCCTTCAGAGGACCCCATTTCGACCGTAACAATGCAGACAGACTTCCTGGAGAAAAGAAAGAAGGCGTGTCCAAAGCCTATCTTAAGGGTGGAAAAACACCCAGCTAGTTAGACTAATTACCAACTCGGTGGTCATAAGCATATCTCTCTGGAATAGATGAGCTTTAGAGAAAACATCATTTAGACACAATATCTTATATGTTGTTTTTCTGCTTAAGACATTTTTTTGCCTTTTCACTGAGGCTGAACTAGATGTATACTGCAGTAAGGCTACCTAATAGGAGGTAACACAAGACAGCTTCTATTACACAGAACTGTGTCTCTTTCTGTGGTTTGTACAAACATACCTCCAGGCACTTGTTCCATGAAGATCTTAATGTATCCATTCTCAGAAATGGAACCCAAATACTGAACAATGTTCCTGTGCTTCAGGTATTTGTGAAGAGCGATCTCTTCATGAAGGGGCTGAGAGTACCTGTCCACGGAAAAGAAAACAGACATCAGAAAAGACAAATTGCATTTCGTACCCTTGCTTTGTGTGTTATTTGTGTAGGTTCTGTTTTATCATTAACTACATTCACATTGGTATTAACACTGGAAATAATTATCTGTTCATTGTCCAATAATCCAGACACATTTGCTGCAAAGTAAATTATTAAAAATTAAATACTGGTAAAACATTGCTGCAAGCTCCTATTTGTTTTTGTGTGATTTAAGTTCAACTGTAAAATAAAGACTGTTTGCTCTTTGTGTTACTACAACATAATAAACTCTTAAATATACTAAATGCAATTACTGCATTTACTTTTATTTATGTGGAAGAAAAAAACTGAATTTGCCATGAGTTCTCCATCAGTAAAATTGAAATATTTTAATTATTATATATATTAAGCAAATTTTATGCATTTCTTTTGTTTTGTCAGCTATGCCAAAAAGACTTGGAACCATGAATGTAGGTTGGTAGGTCAACCTACCTGCTGTCTCTTTCAGGGATCTCTTTGATGGCAATTCGGACTTGGTTGCTGAGATCTCTCCCAGCATACACCACTCCGTAGGTGCCACGACCCAACACTACCCTTTCCCCTGTCTCATCGGTGTCATATTCATACTGTAGCACAGAAAAACAGGCATAGAAATGACATATTTTACATATTTTACATTAAATATCTCACACACAC